GCAAGCTGCACACTCTGCCAGTGCAGCAGGCATCAGGGCTCCAGAAACAGCCGCCCTGAGCAGCTGTAACGATGTTCTGTGGCACTAGCCGCCATTCAAATGGCACAGCAGCCACTATGGGGAGCAAAGATTATCAGCCACAGCAACACCTGGGATCTCTGGTATCAATCAGGACCCCACTGCGCTATCAAGGTGCTTATGTGGAGTAGAGCATCTCCCCTATTCAATGTATTTAACCTCCCGCCAGCCTGTGAACCAGGGACATACTATAACAGCTATTGAAAAGACAAGAAACCAGGGCACAGGCAGTCTAAGTGACTTGACCAAGATTTCACAAAAAGTCTGTGTGAGGGCTGGAATTGAACACAAGTCTACCGACACCAAGTGCAGTGCCTGAAACCCAAGAAGAGCTCTCCTCACATTTATCTACCACAAAGCTACCCTGACAAAATACTCGCAGAGTGTGAACTGCCTCATCCACCATCCCTCAGCACCAGCATCCAGCCCCTCCCACTGGCAAGAACATCATGTCACAGAGATTAGCTACAGGCAGGGAAGGATTCTGGGGAAATCTAGGAACTGCACCCTCCTTCCAGTGGCTGAGCTCACTGCCACATGGGGACCCTGCAGCCACTAAGAGTAGCCAGACCCAGACCTCTGGTACCTGCTGTTCCTGCCTAAGCCCTTCCACTCACACCTCTGGTCAAGGCACAAGATGGACAAGATAGGGGGAAAGCACAGTGAGATGTTATCTGTGGAAACAGCAGCACCATTATGTCATGTCCCTGAACCTGCTTTCCCTGGGAGGGGGCACGAGGGGACAGTCTTTCACACAACAGCCAGGGTTATTGGGGCAGATACTCCTGACATTGGCCCCAACCCAGATGCTCCAGAGCCCACCCAGCTGTTGTTACCCAAGGGGACAGGAATCCTTACTCAGCCAGCTCACAGCCTCAGAATTCTCCTGCATCACATCCCTGTAGAGGGCTCTCTGGCCCGGGTCCAGCAGAGCCCATTCCTCCTCAGAGAAATACACAGCCACCTCCTCAAAGCTCACTGTCTCCACCACGGCCATTTCCTGTCCCTGGCTCTGCAGGCCAGGGGCTGAGCTGGAGTCAGACATGGGTGTTCTGCAACCTGGCAGAGGGAAAAGGGGATTTAGTTCTCAGCACCCAGTGTTTCTGATAAGCCGCATATTCATCTGCCTGAACATGGAAGTAGGTTAAATGTAGTCTGCTGTATTTAAAATGCTTAGTCTTCATTCATTGATTTGCCACACAAACTTTGCTCTCTCATCTGACAGACGTTATAAACCCTTTCCACAACAGAGAGTCAGCGAAGGTAACACCACCGTTCAAATGCTTATTATCAAACACGTGTGCTGAGTGTTTGCAGGATGAGATTTTAGATTCATGGGATCAGAAGATATCCTTAGTCATGCAGTCTGACCCCCCCCCCCCCCCCCCCCAAGTCTGATTGCTTGCATATCACATCACCTGCATATCACCATCAGATTTCATCCAGGTCTCCCCTATATTCAGCACAATAACTTGTTTGACTAAAGCACATCTTCCAGAAAGGCAACCATCAGTGATTTGAAAACATCAAGAGATGGAGAATCCTCCACTTCCCTTGGTACTTTGTTCCAGTGGTTAATCAACATTGCTATTAACAATTTGTACCTAATTTGTAATTTGCATTTGTCTAGCTTCAGTTTCCAGCTGCTCTCACTGAGCCGTTTCCACTCGATGGGGATAACAATTCATTTTGATTGGGGGCCAAATGGAAAGGGGCCGAGAGCTGCACTCTTCCATGACATTAATGCAAGACATGCAGGGTCTGGGATGGACAATAGGAGAAGAAGGAAGCTTGACGTAAGGATTTGGGATGCAGGATGGACAGAGGGGTCTAGGAAGGAGTTTGAATGAAGGAGACAGGCTGTGATCTAGGACGCTGCATTAGCCAACTCCTCAGATATTTAAAGTAACTTTAATTTAGAGAAGTGACTTGGTGGACAAATAAGGGACTGTGGGTTTCTGACCACTGAGAGCTCTTGCATATATAACTGCAGGAGGAGGACAGAGTTTGGGTATGCAGAGTGGGGGCAGGAGTGGAGAGCAGATATTAGGAGGGGAAGGGAGAGGTTGCGGTGTCAGAGGCAAGCGCTGCACAGGAGACTTCTCTGAGTGACTCCTGGCCAAAGGCCAAGCATCTCAGGCAAGCAGGGAGCCTGCCTGACCCTCTCAGAGGCGGCAGGGCCATGTGGGTGTGTGAATAATTATGATCCAGAGGGGAGGGAGTACGGAGCTTTGTTTCTGGTCAGAAATTGGCCAATGAGATTGTCCTGGGGGTAGAAGGAGTGCCTGAAGCCTGCCTTCCTCCCTCCCTTCCAGGCTCACAGTCACTTTCTGAGTGGCTTGCAGATGGGGAGTGGTATCCATGGGCTGGATCCAATGGCTTGGGGCGTGGATCTGGACCATGGGTTGTATTTTGCCCAGGCCTGCACTAGACGTAATAGACCTTGGGGATCCAGCAGTTTCTTGCCTTGAACAAACTGATACAGTGGAAGCCTGTCAGCTCCCAGCTTTTCAGCCTATTTATTGTTTGAAACCAACCCCATATTGAAACTGACTAAACAGTGAAATCTGAGCCTGAAGGTGCCATCCGTTTTGTGCTTTAACTTCACCCCTTTAGCATCACAAACCCATAGACCAGTGTTCCTCAAAGTGTCCACAGGTCCCCATGCAGTGCCCCTGGGTCTCCTCACTAATCAGTGTATGAGATTTAGGGCTGTGCTCGCCGTGGTCACTAGGTCTGGTTGGTAACTTCAATGATAATCCCATGAAGATGTTTTCACTGGAATTCTCTCATCATTTAAAGAATCTCCACCTGCAAACTCACCTGGTCTGAAAGCTCCCAGGGATTTTCCTCTTGCTCTCTCCAGTGCAGAGGGCAGAGTGTCTGGTGGGGGAAGGGTTAAGAGGTGATATTCCAGGCTCTCCTATTTATAACACTGTCCCCACTCTGAACTCTGCGTTTCAATTGTATCAGAGACCAGACAGAGACACATGCAGGTTTTTAGTATGAAAAAACCTCAAACTTTCCTCTCTCACTCGGGCACCTCCCAGCAATGGAGCCAACATCCCTGCAGCCTCACACCTGTCCCCAGTAGAGAGAAGCAGTAAATGAGATTTACTCTTCCCTCCTCACCCCCTCCCATTTGGTTTCTCATTCACTTACTGCCTCTTATCATAACCTGGAGCGGTGGTGGCGGAACATGTTGCCATCACAGTAACTTTAGCCATTTTGATCTCTGAATGGGAGATTCAGAGTTTGCAAACCCTTGGCTCTAGCTGCAAGCAGTTGGGTCTGTTCGCTCAGTGTCTCTAAGGAGAGCAGTGTGATAGGGCCGTCATTCTCCACGTGGGAGTTGAGGCAGGGGAAGGTTGGCTTCAGGGGCCAGATTCAATAGTCTCAGATTCTTGAACCACTTTCCCCTCATCCATCCCTTCTAGGTACCTTTGAACTCCCTCAGTCTCCGACAGAGCAATCATTTTCTGGGAGAAACTGCTGACTTGTTCTTCCAGTTCAGGGGAAATCTCCTCTGGCAGCTGGAACTGCCCCATCTCACACCTGGACAGAAACAATTCCATGTGACTGTATTTCGTTTACTGCTGATAAGTTCTGGCTAGTCAGTCTTATCTCTAACCGGCCTGGAATTAGAATTCTTCCAATTCTCCCAGCATGAGAGCAGAGGCAACACAGTCCATGGCTGTGCAACCTTCCCCTGAAAGGTCCCATTGCTGTTCTTCAGCTCTGGCCGGGGGAGACCAGCTGGGGGGGACAAAAGGGGAATTGAGTCTCCACAGCCAACTCACTCCTTAGCCTCCACATGCTGAGGGACAGGACATTCCCAGGTGAAGGGCTGAAGGAATCTGTCCTATTTCGTTTACTGCTGATAAGTTCTGGCTAGTCAGTCTTATCTCTAACCGGCCTGGAATTAGAATTCTTCCAATTCTCCCAGCATGAGAGCAGAGGCAACACAGTCCATGGCTGTGCAACCTTCCCCTGAAAGGTCCCATTGCTGTTCTTCAGCTCTGGCCGGGGGAGCCCAGCTGGGGGGGACAAAAGGGGAATTGAGTCTCCACAGCCAACTCACTCCTTAGCCTCCACATGCTGAGGGACAGGACATTCCCAGGTGAAGGGCTGAAGGAATCTGTCCACAAGGGACTAGACAGACATCAACTCCTTTCACACACGTCTCAAAACAGCTATTGGGTGGGACAAACTCTTGGTCCCTGCTCCCCTGCGCTCAATGTGCCCAGTAGTGACAGGCCCATGTTCCACCCCACAGTCCTGAGGCAGCCAGTTCCCAGGGAGGTGACAGCACTAGGAAACACTTAAGGCCAGACAGTGCTGAATATGGAATTCCAGAGCCTGCTGTGCGAGGATGAGACTCTCAGAATTAAATGAGTCAGATGTTAGATACAACTATCTCTAACTGTAGAGCCCTGGGGAGATGTGGTGCTAACATCAGTTCCAAGCTCTTTTCATGCGCTGTGCAGTGTGACGGTAGTGAGAGCCACATACCTACTCAGGGTGCTTCTGATGTCCTAGAAAAAAAGACACAGAAAAAAATCTCAGCCCCATTGGATACACACAGGGGACCTCAGGGCAGGGATTTTGCAAACCTGGGAAGAGAGGCCCTGCCCAGCCCCAGGAACATGGATCCCGAGTGAATGGGGCTTTGTCATCTTTAATAGCTCTATGCCTGTAATTCTACAAAGCACACCAGTCACTCACATGGCAGCAATGCACATGGAGTTACACCGAGATCTGACAGTTGGACCCCAGCACTTGTGATTCAGAAGCCTCCCTTCCCTGTGTGGAGAGTTGGAACGTTTCTCCCTCAGTCTCACCTGCAGGATTTCACTCACTGGCTTCTGACACTTCCCCTCCAGCTCACTGATCCGCTCCCTGATACAGGAAATCTGCACGGAGAGTTTCCTGACAGCGTCAGCCTGGAGCCTCCCAATCTCCTCGTCCAGCTTCTCTAGCTGGGCTAGGAGGAGTCACTCTTGTTCCTCCCGGAACTGCCGCAGCTGCTGAAACTCAGCCACAATCATCTGCCTCTCTGCTTGGGTCCATTTCTGTATGAAAACAGGGAAAGGGCTTGTCAGGGGCATGAATGGAGCCCAGGCCTCTTTCTTGGGGAGCTGAGTGCGCAGCAGGGAGAATTTCTTGGAAAACCCAAATATTTGCGACATTTGACTCTACTCTGCAGTTACTAGGCAGAGGCATCTCTCCCAGCATCTCCTTTGGCCCGTGTCCCTCTGAAAGGGACGTTCCCATGTCTGTCATGGGCAGCATCTTCTGAATTTCCAGAGCCCATGAATAACAGATCAAGAGCAGCAGGAGGCAGGATTCAGCACCAGCCTGACAGAGATACCCAAGGAGGGGAAAAAAAAGCAAACATGTTAATGCACCAAGTGAGCAGACAGCCCTTCATGGGGACATTCAGCTCACCTGGGGAAGATGTCTGGGAAAGCCACAAAGGCTGGAAATTAACTCATGCACTGACATGGATGCTCAGGGCCTGCCTACACATGGATCTCACCCAGCAATTCATGTTCCAGGAGAAACACAAATAAGCTCATCCTCACCAAAGCCACACAGACGTCTTTCTCCTAACAGTCCTCCCACTGCCAGTCCCTGCTTGTCCATAGCCACAGGTACCTACCAGATACTCCTGGCATTTCCCTTCTGCTGTTGTTGTTTTCCTTCCCAGCACCTTTTCTCTCTCTTCCCTCCGAGTCTTCGCATGGGCCTCCAATTTTTCCTGAAGAAACAGACATAAGCACGAGGGCAAAACACATTAGATGTTGGGAGCTCATTTATCTGCCTTTAAGACAGTGCAGTTTTGTGGAGCTCTGCTCCTGTCCAGTAGGGACTCAGCCCTGGACATGCCTTTGTTCATAGGAAAAGAGATTGGAAGAGACTGCGGATGCAGCAGGACACCTGCGAGGATGGGGGATGGATTGGTGGTGGCACCTTTGTAAAGAATGATGGAGGTGGGGATTAGGGAGGTAAAAATGCTTACTAATCATATAACCAATTATAATGTTATCAGTGACAGTATTTTTTAACCTGCTGACAGGAAGGGCTGGTAGTGGACATGGGATCTCCTGGGGCCGCGGATCTCTTGTGAGCTCTGCTGAGGGTGGCCACAGGGACTGCTGGCCAACGGGAACTCCCAGCAGCTGCAGACTGACGTTAGCCGCCAGAGGGAACCACAAGAACTGCTGGCCAATGGGAACTCCCAGCAGCTGCAGACTGACGTTAGCTGCCAGAGGGAAGCAGGCACTGCTGGAGAAGTGGGGAGTTTAACCAGTAATTGGCACCGATAACCATTAGCTCTTCAGTTAACCAGTTTGAACTCTTGCTACAATCCAGTAGAATCCTAGTCGAGCCTAGCATGGACCTGCACTTCCTGAAGTCCTGCTATGAGTGGACTGAAGGCACTTGCGGTTCCACACAGCATCGAGCCCAGGAACCTCATCTAGTGCCAGCTACTGCATCAGAGTTTAAACCCTCATGAAGCAGCTCAAGAGTTCAGCATCCCAGTGGGAAACCTCCTCTCCCTGCTGGGCGTAGGGCTTTATCAAGGCATCTTTCCCTCCTAAGGGCCACACTTCATCACTGTTCAGTGATGCTGAGGGGCAGGGAGCAGTGTAGTCTAACAGTTGGACCAGGGTTCGGGGCTAAACACTATCACTGATGTGCTTGGCAACGATGAGCAACTTGCTGCCCCACCTTCCCCTCCCACAGTTTGTCTAACTGGACTGTGACCTGCTCAGAGCAGGGACTTTCCCTTGCTGGGTGTTGTGCAGGGCCCAGATGCCACGGCGGATCTATAAGGCAAAAGACAGATTATTAGTCCTTTTCCTCTGATCAGTAACAGCTTGTAACCTCTTCTTCTCCAGTCTCAAGGCAGCTCACTGAAAGAGTGGCCTGTAGCTCCCGTGATCTAAACCTCTCTGACTGTTAACACCTTCCCATGTGTAAACACCCCTCCTGTCACCAGTCAGGCTGGGTTTCAGGATTCAGAGCCTCAGAGAAACATTTCCCACATCAGGTATCTGTAAAGACTTGACATAAGCTGCCACCAAGCCAGAGCATTTACTTTTTACAGCATCTCTTGTAGGCTTTACAGAGCTGTGTCACACCTGTGCCCAGTAACAGTCAGTGAAATTAGCCTGTAATTAAAACGCACTGGACAACAACTCTGTACCTTGTACTCCTGGGCAGCTTCCTGTAAGGGCACCACCATGTGAGCCTGGGATCTGTCACACACCACAGAGATGGGAGTTTGATCCTCTTCACAGAACAGCTTCAGAGCCTCCTGGTGCTCCCCGCACACCCCGTCCCATCTTGCTCTCTTTGCTGCCTGGAAACTCAGCGGCTTGGCTAGTTCCACCACGTTTGCCAGCTGCCGGTTGGGCCGGAGGGGTCCCTGCTGCTCAGTGTCTCTGCCCTGAGGGCTGAGGGGGGCCTGGCAGGAATTGTGCCCACACTCCAGAGTGACAGGGGCTGTGAAATCCTCCAGACAGACGGGACGCGGCGCTTCCTCCCGGACACTTTCCACGGGGCTCTCTGCAGCCATGGCTGCCTCTGGGCTGGGGACCCAGCCACATTGGGGGACCGGGGCCGTGTCACTGTCCTGAGCTCAGCAGTGGGGGGGCAGGTCCGGGGGCGGGTGCGAGAGGTGCCAGCACTGAGGACAAAAAACCATCAAAATTAAAAACCGAAAAAGCCCCAAAAGCTTCGTTCCCCCCTGCAGGGTCCATTGGGCCTCCCCCGCTAACTGCCCCGGACAGAACCGCCCCCCCATCGCTGCGCCCCTCAGGCCAGGGCCCTCCCCGCCCTGTGTTCAAATCCCCCGCCCCCGCACACTCTGCAGCCCCCTCAGCCCCGCTGTGCGCCCGGCACCACCCAGCTCCCCACCCCCCGCCAGGCCCGCGCCAGCATCAGGACGCGACCCGATAC